GAATTAGATATTGGCCTATGTTCAGGACAAAGAATAATTTCTAAACTTTGTGTTTTTAAAAAAATGACCTAAAAATATTCTACATTTTATTTCTTACTGCTTAGTTGAGTTTAAGTTTCAGGTTAGAGGTTTGTTATGTAAACAGGCTACAGTATACTTTGTTGACATGCATAAAAAGGATTTTCTATTGCTCAGGCTTCTACTTAGTTAATTAATACTAAGTGTCAAACATTGTGTACAGAATACTAACTTGTTACTTATGTTTGTGTCAACTAGAAAAAGCTTTGTGTAGTTGGGGTCATGAAACAAAAAAAAAGGCTAAAACTCAATTTTATTTGACAGAAAGGCTATTTTACTGCACAATTTAATTATTAAAGCTTTGAACCAGCAACTCATTCTACCTCATTTAGTGCTGCCTCCTTGTCAGCTTCACACTCCAACAATCTCTGCGTCAGAGCAAAAGCCTCACGATGTGTTTCCTCCACGTTTTGCTCCTCCTGGTGCACTCGGACTTGCAGCTCTTGCAGTTCCTGTTTCTGATGGCTGTTTTCACCTCCAAGGATTTTTATCTGTTCGTATTGAAAGGATATAAACTACTTTCAGGTAGTTCTTTACAGAAAACCAATGAAAGAGAAATCACTGCCGTAAAAAGAAAACTTTGACCTGTGTGCGCAGCTCCTGCAGCTCTCTGCGTGCCTGCAGATGAGTGCTCTCTAACTCTTTCATTCTGCTCCTGAGTGTTGTTAACTCTTGGTGCATCGAGCTTCTATGTTCCTCCAAAACAGACAGTTTTTGTTCTTTCTCTCTGAGAGATCGCTTCAGGCTGGTTAAAACAAGTTGAAATTTTAAACAAACATTATAAAATATATTTATCATAGCTAGAACCTCAAAACAATAGTTTTTTACAGGAGATCCTTCAGCCACAGCTCTACCTGCTGTTGTCACTCTCTGTTCTTTTGATTAAAGCTCTCAGCTCCTGGTTGGACACCTGAAGGGCCTCTTTTTCTCTGGACTCATCTCCTAGCAGCCGCTGCATGTCCTGTGCTTCTTTTTGCAGCTTGTCCTGTGCTTGTGCAGTGCCCTGCAGCTCCCTGTGTGCCTCAATCAGATCTCTTTGTCCTTTAATGAGGCCGTCTTCTGCCTCCTGCAGCTGCTGACGAACTCTCTCCAACTTTGTGGCCAAACAGAGGAGAATAAAAGCATCATATGTCACTGAGGATAAAACTAAAGGTCTTATAGCTAAACAGTAAATACTGATTATATCCATAAAATAATTTCAGCTTAAAAATGTTTGACATATTGTATATTAGTTTGTGCTTGCATGGGTTTCTTTTGATTCTTCACTTCCCTCCTTCTGATTAAAAACATTCATATTAGGTTAAGTGGTAACTTTCAATTTTCACTAGGTGTAAGTGAAGGTGTCTCTGTGTGGCCTTGTGATAAACTTGTGATGTGTCCAGATCTTAATCAGTGACAGCTGCAGATCAACACCAACTCCTTCATGACCTCGAGAAGAAAAAGCAGGTAAAGAAAACAGATAGATGCATAGATACTAAATTAGTAGATCTTTTTCTTTTACCTGTTCCCTCATCAGCCACAGTGAGTCATCCTTCTCCATCATGCTCATAATAATAATCATCCATCCATCCATCCATCATCTTTACCAGCTTCTTCCTTTGAGGGTCACTGTGAGGGCCGGGGTACACCCTGGACAGGTCGCAAGTCCATCACAGGGACACATAGAGACAAACGAGACAAACAACCATTCACGCCACGGACAATTTAGAGCAGGGGTGCCCAAATATTTTCCCTGAGAGGGCCAAAATTTAAAAAAAATTTCCTGAGAGGGCCAAAATTAAAACCAATCAATAATATAATACATGAAATGCAAATACTTCTTAAGTAAAGTTAATCATAGCTGATAGCTATGATTAAGCTATCAGCCAGTACGGTTGCCCACATTCTTTTGTTTATTTTTAGCCCATGTACATGGAGAAAATTCAATGTATGCTCAGGCAGCAAAGGCTAACGGGACTTTTCATAGTTTAAAATTTGATTATATGTGGACTTATAAGGTGTGCAAATCTAGATATGGACTTAAATCTAAAGACAACTACTGGTGGGCCAAATCAAATGGCTTGGTGGGCCAATTWTGGCCCAAGGGCCCCACTTTGGGCACCCCTGATTTAGAGTTACCATTTAACTTAACAATCATGTTTTTGGTCTGTGGGAGGAAGAGTACCCAAAGAAAACTCATGCATGCACAGAGAGAACATGCAAACTCTGCTCAGTACGGTCCCCAGCCAATAACAACAACAACAATAATAATAATGAATTTAATAGCAAAACATCTCAAAGTGCTACAAAACAGAAAAAACACACAGCAAATGACAAGATTAGACAAATAAAAAACAAAAGAATATTAAAATTACACCAATAAAAACAACAGTGAAAAAGGCTTGATGTCTTTAAGCATGTTTTAAAGTCAGCCAGTGGTTGTGGAGCTCTCAGAGAGCCAGATGAAAAAAAGTCTGATTGTTCCTTTAAAGTGATAAACATCTGTTTAAAATTGTTGTACAGAAGTAAAAAATAGTTGAACTAACCTTTAAAAAGCATAAAAGTTTAAAAAGTCTGAATGTCCCTTTAAAGTGATAAACTACTTTCACCCAGATGCCTGATCTGGCTGAATATGGAAGAAGGAGGTTCTTCAGATAATCTGGTGAAGTTCTGTTAAAGCAGTGTTTCCCAAAGTTGGGGTCGGGACCCAAAGTGGGGTCCAAAAATTTCAAGGTGGGGTCCTGAAAAGATTTTCTGAATTTATTACATTTTGCCTTAGTTGTTACAAAGGGGTGAGGTTAGTATATTTTAAATGGATAAATGTAGTATAAAAATATTGTTACTATGCCCATGTTTAGTTGACCTGATACAAATGTTTATCATCCAAAAATAGTTGGTGGCGCAGGTCTCTGCTACTGTTATTTTGTGGGTCAAAAGCTGAAACGTTTGGGAACCACTGTGTTAAAGCACTGATGAGTGATGAGAGAAATCTTATATTGAATTGTGTAGGAAGAGAAGGTTATGGAGAATGGGTGTAATATGTTCTGATTTACCAGCTCTCAATAAAACCCTGGCTGACTGTTTTGAATATAAAAGTTTCTGAACATTTTTACCAAAGATTCCAATAAACAGGGAGTCACAGTAGTCAGACTTAGACACTCATATTCATATTGTGTTAGTAAATCGTTCCTTTTAAAAACTAAACTTCAGCATATCTTATTTTAAGTGCTGTGTCCACAATCTTAAAACTGTTTTCTAGCAACATGTTGTGTGTAGTTGGAAAAGCCGAGAGGCCCGAACTTATCTGGGCCCAGATAAGAGCCCGTTAGGCTCACAGCCAGTCTGTCTCTCCCTATCGCCTCGTTCCAGCTCAGAGTGTAAAGAATCCACACAGAGCAATGTGATAAACTGCAGCCCCCCATGAACTGCTGGAGGAGGAGGAGGAGGGGGGAAAAGGGAGGATGAGGAGAAGGAAGAGTGTTATGATTAGAGGCCACACAAGATGGCTCCTTCTCATAAACTCTAATGTGAGAAATAAACAAGCTCGAGCTGATCTGGCCAATTATGCTTTGTTTTATCTGATTTTCAGGGTGGGGAGCAGGAGAGCGCTGCAGAGAATATGAGGGCAGCGGTGTTATGTTATGTGCATGAGAGAGGGGGACCTGGAGTCCCGGCGGAGCCAGCCTCTCGCTGCTGCGAGGGAGAAAATAAACACTCCCCCACTGGTTTATTTACAAAAGGGGTTAACTCCAACTTTAATTTCACATTACAGTACCAGGGACTGCACTCTCCCCTGCGTGGTTTTCCCTCGCTTCGCTTGTTTTCTTTTGCTTTCATGCTTTCTAGTCCTTTGTCACACACTCTCACGGCAGCTTTGCATCGAGCCGACATGAGAAGCCTCAGTTGGAGTAAGTGAAAACACTCGAGCATGGAAAGCAGCGGGGGTGACAGCGTTACATGAGAGCATTGCAGAAGTCTAACTGTGATATATGGTAGGGAGGGTTAGCCATGCCTCAAAACTTCTCTGCTCTGGCTCCACACGTCTTTATTTACTATATTTTGACAAGGCTAAGGAGACTGTGCGAAGACGGAGTGACCCGATTTCTCACTTTTATTTTATGGAAAGCAAAAAAGTCCCACACTGATAAACTATCCCCTTCTTTCCAGGGAATCCAGGCTTTTAAATCAAGGATGGTTGAGGCTCTGCAGTTAGATCCTAATGAGGTGAGCGTGAGCTTGTTGTTTCATGAAAATGCCCAGTGACCCTGCGCCTGAAATCCTGACCTCAAGCAACCCCAGGAGATGAAATTTACAGCTCTCGCTCGGCTCGGAGGGACATGTCCCTCGGCCAAATAATGCTCTTTAATTGCAGCTTGATGTTTAGATTGAGGTTAACGGAGCAGATTGTTCCTCGTGTGGATTTGACAAGAGAAGGACAAAGTAAATACAGGTCCTAAGCGGGGACACCACCTCTCCTTGTAGGATTTGGCCATGTGCTCTCTGCACCTGATGGCACCCTGATGCTAGAGGAGCTCCAAGACACCAGCCAAAGTCAACACCAGTCCATGTGAAATGGCTCTCCCTCACACTGGTACTAATTGGTGCAAACTCCCAGCCTCAGTCGAAGCAGATCAGAGGTCTCCCACTCTACGCCAAGCCAAACATGCCTGAGATTTCCTATTCGTTTCTGTGATCATGCAGCACAAACAACCTCTGCCATCTACGTCGTGGCCCTTATATATTTCATCAAATGTCTTGAGCGAGTCATCGCGGCGATAGATTGCCCCGCTAAAGCAACAAGCACGATGTTTGTGCGTTGGAAATATGCTCAGAGAAACTGAAACATTTCTACCTCCTGTTTAGCCTGTTCGCTTTCTTGGTTCCTCTCTCTGACCTCCTCCATGAGACTGTTCTTGGAGCTCTGATAGGAGCTCAGAGACTCTTCGAGTTGATGCTGCAAACCTCGCAGCTCAGACCGGAGGACAAGCATTGCATTCTGGAACGAATACAGACACAAATCAGTCAGCTGATTTATTGTACAGCCAGAGATCGTAGAACTGTCAGTGCAGCCCTGTGACTTTTTTACTTTGTCCTGCTCTTGTTTACTGAGGGCCTCCCTCTGCATGCGCTCCAGCTCCACGCCTGCTGTGGCCAGATCCTGTCGTAAGGCTGCTATCTCCTCAGTCAGGGCGGCCTTCTCCACCTCCTTCTGGAACAAAGCCTGAAAGCAATGCTCTGTAAGTTTGGAGTAGCTCACATGAAGTTGCATATAGTTAAACCTCCTGTCATGTGCAGTATTTTTACACCAACATGCTAATATATTGTGTTATTTTTGACACAGACAGCAGAATTATTTAGTGTATAAAAAATGGCAGACTCCCTCACAAACCTGCTGCTTTTTACTTTCAGCCTGCAGCAGGTTTTGGTTGAACTCCCTCTGCAGCCTGCTCAGTTCTTCTTGCACCTGCAGCAGCTCACCCTGGCTGTGTGCACGCTGCTCCTCCAACTGTCTGCGCAGCTGCTCTTCGATCTGTGCTCGCTGAACCATCAGCTCTGACAACTGTTGCTCCTGTTGAGCAGCAAACACCACAACACACCTAATTCATCTTTGTTCATCTTAACAATCTGATTGAAGGTTGATTAAAATAGCTGGTATTGGTTATCTGAGGCTGCATAAATACACAGAGACAACATACAGCAGTGCAAAGAAAAACTGCAGGCTGTTTTGAGCAGTTAGTGCTTTTATATATATA